ACAGAAAAATAAAGGTAACTTCTTGGGCAGATAACATCATAACAAAGCCATTCTTTTCTGTAGATGGAGAAAAGGACATTGAAAAGTAGGTGTTAAAAAGAAGAGGCAACATTATAAAGCCCAGATGCAGACTTGCCCTGGAAGCATGTACCACATCAGAGGTGACGTATTTTATTCCTTGTTTTTAAATGTCATCAAGTTAGTTCAGACACATAATGACCCTGTATGTGGAGCAGCTGGTGAGCTTGAACCACCGACCTTACAGTTCAAAGGGCTTTGCAGTCTGGCGCATTAGCCCACAGCGCCACACCGGGACTTCTAGGACTCCTGAAAATGATCTTACAGGTAATCATCCAAGCTGGCCCAATCTATGGATTCCCAGGGTGCAGAGGACACCACTGTATCAAGCTTAAAGAAGACAATGGTTTCTAAACTGTACGTACCTACCAAGCTTCTAGCCTATCTATGTCCAAACCTCCTTGCCTAGTTCTGATTACCTGGTCAGTTACTCAGTAGGCCCTTTCTTCCTCTACAGCTGCCATTTTCACTTTCAAGGTATATGTAAACAGTGAGAGTCAGGGAAATGAGGAAGTCCACTGCATTCACTGCCTATTACCTTGGTTAGAGAAATAGGAAAGGGGGCTACATCCGATAGCTGGCCAGCACTGGGTCTTACAGCAACCAGCTGGATATTTCAAAAGCAGCCCAAAGTCCAACACCAAAGTCATGACCTTCTTCTGCCCAAAGCTGGCCCTCTTCCATTATTTCATATTTCAATGAATCCAAATGATTTTGCAGCCAAACCACAAAAGCATTCCTTGATCTCCTCCTTCTACCTACACAACTCAAGACACATCCCTGGGTAGTTCTCAAATCTGTCCATCCCTAGTCCAAAACACACCTTCTTCTCTTCTTGGTGCATTATTAGCCTCTTGACATACCTACCTGCCTCTGCTCTGCACCCCTCCATCCCATCCCCAAGCTGCAATCAGGGTGAATTGTGCAAAAGTAAGACCCTTAATGGTGTCTGTAGGGCCTGCACATGCTCTCCTTGGACCAGACCACACACAGATTATCTTGGTTCCTGAAATACATGGATCTCTTTCTTGTGCCTACCAACCCCCAGGACAATGCCAACCATCAGCCTCTTCCTACCTCTTCCAACCAACCCACCCCTCAACAGCCCAACCTCCCACCCACAACCCTCCATACAAAATCCTCTTCAGACTTTCCAGCAAGCCTGAACTTCAAAATTACATCAGAACCTCAATCAGAACATCTTGCAACATCTCATGTTTTTCCTGCCAAGGATTTAACGACATATACACACACATCAACAGTGAGATGAACCATCTGATCATTTATTTCTCCCACTTGATGTACAAAAATTTTGAGTGTAAGAAGACTCAATGGATTTTGATTATTATTGTACATACGTATTAAATTTAATTTTTAAAACGCATTCTCCAAAACTTTAAAAATTGTATCCAGAAAAGAGAATGTTTCTTTATTTAGGAATGATTGCATATTGCTAATTTCTTCTGTTGAAGGATTTTTAAACTATGAACATTTTTTTCTGCAAAGCCTATATGAGATCATCCCATTTTTACTGCCTCCCTACCCCCACCCCTCAGGTTAAGACCTTTTTACAGTCCCAGCTTGGTTTGCAGATGGCAAGCTATAGTGATGGAGAGAAACCCTTCTGGATCTGTGATTCTCTTAAGTGCCTTTGACATGTATTTATCAAGTATCTGTTATATGTACAGACAAGATAAAATAATACATCAGTAGGCTCTTTATCGGAGTCTTGGTGTGGCGCTACAGGATAGAGCACCGTGTCATAAGGTCAGTGGTTCAAACCCACCAGTCGCTCCTTGGAAACCTATATAGGGTTGCTACGAGTTGGAAATGACTCGAAGGCACTTAACAACAGTATTCTCTTTCAGTTCATTTGGCATATATTTGTTGAGCATCTGTTATAAGTACATACAAGATAAAATATCAGTAGGCTATTTACCAGAGTCCTGGTGTGGTCCTGTAGGATAAGCACTGGACTGCTAACTAAAAGGCCGGTGGTTCAAAGCCACCAGCAGCTCCTTGGAAATCCTACACAGGTTTGCTATGAGTAGGAACTGGCTCGATGACACTGAACAACAGCATCTGGAAAAGTGACTGTGTCGGTTTGTTCCTATATGCTTTTGTTTAAGATATGATGACTCTAGAATAAATGTTACGGAGCTGCAAGAATCACCTTTTAATAATGCTGCCCTATTGCTCTCTTTAGAAAGAGTGACAGGCGCTAGGGGCCAACAGCAACCCAGTCTGGCAGATGTTTTAAGGGTAATGCTTTCTTTATAACAGAGAAACTTCACAATGAAAATGTTACCATTTATGCCAAGGTAGTTAGAAAAATAAAAGGGGGACGGGGACAAAAATAAACACATCTTGTGTCATCTAACTTCACTACCATCACTAACAGTTGCTGCCAAGTCAGTTTTGACTCCTGGTGACGTCATGTGCATCCGAGTAGAACTGGGTCCCATAGGACCAGTTTTTCACTGGCTGGTTTTTCGGAAATCAATCACCAGGCCTTTCTTCTGAGGTGCCTCTGCCTGGACATGAACATCCAACCTGTCAGCAGCCAATCATGTTAACCATTTGCACCACCAAGGGACTCCTCTATATTCATTGTTGTTGCTGTAGTTGTTGTTAGGTGTCAACAAGTCGGTACTGACTCACAGTGACCCTATGCACAACAGAACGAAACCTCACAAACACTGCCACACTTGAGCCCACTGATGCTGCCACTATGCCAATCTATCTCGTTGGGGGTCCTTCCTCTTGTTCTCCAAACCTCCACTTTACCAAAAGTAATATCCTTTTCCAATGACTGGTCCTTCCTGACAGTATGTCTGAAGTATGAACGATAAAGTCGGGCCATCCAGGCTTCCAGGGAGCACTCTGGCTGTACTTCTTCCAACACAGATCTGTTAGTTCTTCATTAGAGATGTTGCTATTGGGTAGTCATCACTACTGGAATCCTGGTGTAGCACTGTAGGATGAGTACTGGACAACTAACTGAAAGGCCAGCAGTTCAATCAGGCACTCCTCGGACACCCTATATAAGGTTACTAAGAGTTGGAACTGACCTTAACAAAAACAACAGCCATCACTATTTGAGAACCAGGAACAAAAGTTGATTTTTTTCTAAGCTACCATACTCAAGATCTTGCCCAGATCCTCTCATGGAACCAAGCTTCCTTTAGAGCCATTCACACAAACACTCCAATACCTACAGACACCAGTGATTTAGCGGCACTACAAACCACAAGATGAGCAGTTCAAACCCACCAGCTGACTCCTCAGAAACCCTATACAGGGGTCACTGTGAGTCAGAAGTGACTTGACTGCACTTAATGACAATAGTAATGATTTAGGGATAGCAAATTGGGGGTCAAAGATGCCTGGTGGCACCATGGCTGCTAACAGCAAGGTTAATAGTTCAAACCCACCAGTGGGCCAAAGATGCAGCAGTCTGCTTCTATAAGATCTTCAGTCTAGGAAACCCTACTGAGCACTTCCATTCTGTCCTACAGGGTCAGTATGATGGGAATCCACTTGATAGCAGCGGATGGGAATTTGGAGTCTGGTGGTCCCATGCTTAAGTGCTTGGTTCCTAACTGCAAACCACAATGTCAAGTTTGAGCCCACTGATTAGTGTCTCGGGAGGACAGAGCTGGAGACCTACTCTCCTACAGAGCACAGTCTACAAAAGTCGATGGGGCAGTAAAACCCCACACTCTGTGTGGGTCAGCGTCTACTTGACAGCACACACCAACATTTAGGACAAGGAGGAATCAGCAAACGGGAGAGGAACAGGCCTTGGAGAGGTAGGTAAGGAGAAGTAAAAGGAGGGCAGGAAAGCAAAACCAGACCTAAAAGAACACACAGGAACAAAGAACAAAGCATCTGCAGAAGAAAGAACCATTTTCAAACAGGAGGAACGAAGTGAGGCTGGGACCTATGGAGCAGGGACCAGCCAGCCAGCCACCCTTCCTTCCCGGATCGGAGAACAACCCTGCTAAACCCAGGACTGTCCAATGCAAACTCAACCCATGGCCATGTCCAGCCAACTCACAGCGGCCCTACAGGGCAGAGGAGAAGTGCCCCGTAGGGTTTCCAAGGCTGCATCCGGGTTTGGTGCTGCGGGTTAATGTGTTGGACTGCAAGGTTTGTTTGAACTTCTAGGTTGGCGGGTCCAGCCCCTCAGTCACTCCTCAGAAACCCTACACGGGGCTGCTATGGGTTGGAACCCACTCGATGGCACTTAACAACAACAACAATCTTATGGAGGCAGACTGCCGTATCTGTCTCCCATGGAGTGGCTGAATCCAAACAATCAACCCTGTGGCTAGCAGTCAGTGCTTAACCACTGTGCCACCAGGGTTTCAGGATCATACACAGTCACTACCGATCCAGTCAAATTACAAGGAGATGAAATTGATTTGTTTTTCCTGGGTTTAGACATTTCAGCCTCACCTGGAGCTACTTGTACCTAAAGAGCCCTAGGTGGTGGCGGAGGTGGTTGTTAAGTGCCATGAAGTCAGTTCTGACTAATAGCGATCCTGTACAGGGTTTCTGGGGCTTTTAAATCATTGTGGGGTCAAAAAGTTTCATGTGTTTCCCACAGAGTGGTTGGAAGGCTCGACCCACTGATCTTGTAGTTCGCAGTCAAGGACTTATCATAGGGAACCATCAGCTGCTATTAATATTGCTAAGCTGTAATGGTCAGCAAGTCTTACGTTATTTTTAGTACACTCTACCTAAGAAGATAGGGAAAGTACATAGAATGTTTGGGGACTATTTGAAAAGTTCTGGCATGAAAGAGTTACATTACCCAGACCCTGGTGAAAACCTGCATTCGGTGGTAACATGAGATCCACTGGGCAATGTTTTACTTGAAATTCCCTACAACTTCAAAAAGTTATTTGTCACCAAACCTTGATCCTCCGGATGCTGACTACTGCCTCCGACACTCTCTCAATGGCGGCGGGGAAGAAGAGGGTGACTGTCAGCCGTACAGCCCCATACAGCGTCACGGCCACAAACACTCGGCTCGCTGTGATCACGTTGCCAAGGAGCACGTAGGTGGTGAAAGTCACAAAAACGATTATTTTACTCGCCACAAAAAACGACGCCAAATTCATTCCTCTAAGGTAGGAACTTCTCAGAATCTTGGAAATTTCCTTCCTGGGAAAGACAACAGAACAAACATAGGTTTTAGTTAAAAAACACTGACCGTCAAAGCTATGGTAGCTCCATTCTCCTGAGTGGCAACCGTACAGGCAGCACCTGCTCTTCTGTTCCTTAGGTATGGCAGCCCACCACCTCAGCTTTGGGCAGTGGCTCTGGAATCATCCTCATGGCATACTTTAAGGGCAGCACACATTCCAGAACCAAGTTGGTAAAGATTTGAGTCTTTGAAACCAAGGAGACCATGACCCACTCACCCTTTGAGACTCAGCAAGTAATGGTTGCACGCTGTGAGAGCTCAGAGATCATGGCTCTACCCTTTGAGACTGAAGTAGCCATGCTTCCATGGTTCCTTGGCCTCTCAGTCCATTGGGTCTCTAACCTCTGAAGGAAGAAGCCCAAGCTGCATTGAAGGCATTGGCGAAAAACAAGGATCCAGGAATTGATGGAATGCAAATTTAAAGCTTACAAAACACTCATGCAGTGCAGAAGGCGCTAAGTCATCTCTGCCAAGAAATTTGAAAGACAGCTACATGGACAACTGATTGAAAGAGATCCATTCCAAAGGAAGGTGACCCAATGGAATGTGGAAATCATCAAACAATGTCACATGCAAATAACATTTTGCTGAAGATAATTCAAATATGATTGACATAGTACAATGACAGAGAAGTGGCAAAAATTAAAACTGGATTCAGAAGAGGACATGAAACTAGGTCGATCATTTCTAACATCAGATGGATCTTGGCTGAAAGCAAAGAATATGAGAAAGATGTTTACTTGTGCTTCACTGACGATGCAAAGGCTTTTGACTATATAGACCATGACAAACTACATATAACACTGCAGAGAATAGATATGCCAGACATTTACTTGTGCTCATGAGAAATCTGTACGTTGACCAAAGGCAGTTGTTAGAACAGAACTAGGAGATACTGAATGGTTTAAAATTAAGAAAGGTATGTGCCTTGGTTAGTTTCACCATACTTATTCAATCTGTAAACTGAGCAAATATAATCCAAGAATCTGGATTATATGAAGAAGAATGTGACATCAGAGTTGGAGGATGTCACACTCATTAATAACCTGCAATATGCATATGATACAACCTTGCTTGCTAAAAGCAAAGAAGGCTTAAAATGTTTACTCATGAATATCAAAGACTTCAGAGTTCAGTACGGATGACAACTCAATTAAAAAAAAAAACAACCTCAATATAAAAAAAGAAAACAAATATGCTCACAATTGAACCAATAAAAATGAGAAAACACTGAAGTTGTCAAATACTTCATTTTGCTTGCATCCACAGTCAACACTCATGGAAGCAGCAATTAAAACGTCAAATGTCATATTGCATTAGGTAATTCTGTTGCACAAAACCTCTTTAAAGTGTTCAGAAACAAAGCTATCAGGGGATGAAGGTATGCCTGACCTAAGCCATAGTATTTTCAATAACCTCATACGCATGTGAAAGATGGACACTGAATAAGACACACCGGAGAAGAACGCATGCATTTGAGTTATGGTGTTTGGGAAGATTATTAGAAGCACCATGGACTGCCAGAAGAACAAACAAATCTATGCTGGAAGAAGTACAGGCTAAATGCTCCTTAGAAGCCAGGCTGGCACGAATTCTCTCATACTTGGGACATTTTACTAAAAGGAACCAGTTCCGGGAGACAGACATCATGCTTGATAAATTGGAGAGTCAGCGAAAAAGAGGAAGACCCCACCTACCCACCCACCACGCAGTGAAATGTATTGGCACAAGAGCAGAAGCAATGGGTTCAAGGCTTAACAAGAACTGTGAGAATGACGCAGGATGGGGCAGTGTTTTGTTCTGTTGTGCACGGAATCACTATGAGTCAAAACTGACCTCACAGCACCTAACAACAACAAAACTGTGAAACCACTGAGATGCCACACAAGCCAACACAATTCAATCCGTTACATATTCTATTCTACTTAACCCTACTGTATACATGTGGGGTGTAGAGTATTGACGTTCACGAAATATGAAGGCATAATCAAACTTCTAGCATAGTCAATAGCAATAAGACAGACAGAAATTAAAACATGGTGTGATATATACAAAAACTTACCGTCTCAAACTGGTAATCAGGTCTGCAAATGACTTTTCCCAAGCATACATCTTTATTATTCTTATACCAGTTATCACTTCATTCATAGTCCGGATCCTGACATCCGTGAAAGTTGCAGTCTTGCTCCTACGGGGGACAGACGTGCCATGAGATGAGCCGTAGGGAGCCTGCCTAACTGCCCTTATCAGAGCAGACACAGGCAGAGACCATGGATCAAATGATTCCCTAAAGCTCTTTCACTCACACAATGCAGGCAGATCCTACTCAAAATACAAACGGAGAAAGAACTTCAATTAGGAAGTCAACAATTTTTCCCAATTCAATAAATACTTTGGAGAACTTGCAATATCTGCTGGGGAAGATAAGAAAATGAGTAAGACACAACCTGTCCCCTCAAGGAGCACACAGTTGGATAGGGAAAACAGAAAGGTACCCCAATCTAGCAACAACACAGTGTGGCTGTGATATAGTAAAACAGGAATACGGTGCTGGGGAGCAGAATAGGGAGAGCCCACTTCATTCTACTGAGAAAGGAAAAGCAAGAAAAGGTGCAGAGTACAGGTAGCATGTGAACCAAATGACCTCGAAGTAACATTTTTCCAAATGTTAATGAGTAAAAGGGAAATGCCAGGTAGTGAAAAAAAAACATCACGAGAAGCCACAGAGCAGTGTGCTCCCAACAACACAGCTCCGCCCAGCTGACAACCTTGACAATGACCCATTTCCAACCCTCTGGGATCTGCTTCACCTGCACGGTCATCTTTAGGTTCCTAATCAACAGCTAGCAGGCTAGCCCATACTCTACAAAGGACTGTGGGACTTCATACAGACATAACTAGGATTGGCCTCCCCTCCCTCCCACACACACTTGAAAATAGCTGTAACGCAAGTATAATGAAGCTCAAAGTAGCTATAGTTGGGCCTATTCAGTGTTTCCTTTACTTTTATTTAACAGATCCTGGTGTGGTGCTGTAGGTTAATGCACTGGACTGCAAGGTCGATCTGAACCACAAGGTTCGCTGTTCAAGCTCACCAGATGCTCCTGGGTGGCTAGGAGTTTGAACCAACTGGACGATGCTTAACAACATTTGTATAATTTCTACATATGCAAATTCTGCTTCACCAGCCAGTTGCCACTGAATCGTAGCTGACTGATGCTGCCCTCGAGTGTGAAGAGTTCCACAGTGGAACTCCGCTGATTTTTCAGAAGTAGATCAACAGACCTTTCTTCTGAAGAGCCTCTGGGTGGAGCTGAACCTCCTAATCTTTTGGTCAGCAGCTGCCTGTGTTAACTCTTTGCACCACTCAAGGACTACCAATTCTGCTGAAGGACACTCTACTTATGAAGGCTACGGGGCCTGAAGAGCTTGCAGGGAAAAGCTTCACTTTTCCAGTTTTAAGATTAGCCTTCAGCGTTACCCTGGAGCCCCAGTGGCTAAGCCTGCAGCAGGTGCATCAGGAAATCAAGTCACAATTAAAGGCAGGCGTGGACATTCCCAAATACACGTCACATATTTCTCAAATCAGCATTTCTCTTACCGCAGTGACGAGAACAACTTCCCGATGCAGCTTTGCAAAGGCAGAAGAATAATTAGGACTGCCATTCCAGCAAGACATGAGATTCCAATCTCCATCCAGAGAAGGGCAGTCACGGCGATGGCCTGCAGAGGTCCTGCCCATAGAAAGTGTAAAAATATCGTTACCTTAAAGGAAAAAGACAAAGAGTTTTTAGGACTGTATGAAAACAAAACCAACATGAACTAAGTACAGAAGCTATGTGGTCAACAGGAACAAACAGAAATTGCCACCCACCCACTTCCATCGAATTGACTCAGACTCACAGAGACCCTGCATAGGGTTTCCAAGGCTGTAGGTCTTTACAAGAGCAGAAAGCCTTATCTTTGCCCTGTAGACCCACTGGTGGGTCTGAACCACAGTCCTTGTGGTTAACAGCCCCAGGTTTATCCTACAGTGCCACCAGGGTGCCTTAGAAATCATCACAGTGGGTTTTAAACCTGGTGTGGCGCTGTGGGTTAATGCACTGGACTGCAAAGTCAGTTTGAACCACAAGGTCAGCAGCCGCTTTTTGGAAATCCTATACAGGGTCACTATGGGTTGGAACCAACTCCAAGATACTTAGCAACAACAACAAAGCAAAAAACATCAAGAATCTATTGCAGAAGATACCCTTCATGTGCAACAAGGGACAGACTTTAGGTAACTTGGCCAGCAGAGTCATAAAAAAGATATTGATTGTATTCCACAGAGGAGTTCAAGGCTTCCTCAGACTTTAAGCTCTTTGCCACAAATCTCAGCCCCCATTCCCCTGGGAATTCCCAGCACCCCAGGAAGGCTCACATTTTGGTGCCTACCACATTCTCCTAGTATGGCGCTATAAATACAAGCACTGGACTGCTAACTGCAAGGTCAGAGGTTCAAACCTACCAGCTGCTCCTTGGAAACCCCACACTCACAGGGTTGCTATGAGATGGAACTGACACCACGGCACTTAACAACAACCACCACCACATTCTCCAGGGAAGAAACCAAGTAAGGACCTTGATTCGTGTTTGATGAATGCACAGTTGAATGAGCAGGGGTCCTAGTGCAATAAGGAAACCTGACCAGGAGCTAGAGCCATGTGATCTGTCCATGACGTACAAGCAAGAGAAGAACGTGTAAGATAGAAGAGACTAAAGGGACCTCTAGCTAAGAGCCAGAACTGTTTACCTGCAGCTTCCTTGTGCATGAGGTAACGTACAAGGCACAAAGACAGCAACAATCAGGCAGTGAAAACTCTACCCGGGCACAGTTCTACTCTGACACACACGGGTCAGGATCAATTCAAGAGCAACTGACAAGCTGGCTGATGCGCAAATTTGGAGAAGAAAGACGACAGTTCAGGAGGTGAAACTAATGCACAGTGCTAAGAGTTAAGAAAGCAAACTATGTATGTCTGCCTAGTTATCACGGGCTTATCATTGAACTATGTTGCAGGAAATGTTAGAAAAATAAAAGTCTAAATGACAGAGCAACACATATCATTAATTCCAATCATACACAAAACAAAGAAAGATCTGGATTAAAAACAGAAATACAAAATACCCTTTGTCTTAAATCCTCAAAAGAATCTTGGTCTGCAATAAAAACTTGACATTTCAGTAAAATAAAACGGAAAGGCACAAGCCGAAGTGGACCACTAGGCTGAGGCTTACCTGATCAAACTTGTTCACATCATTGGACAACAGATTGACAATCTGGCCCGTGGTGGTCTTCCCCATGGCGGTGTTACTGAGATGAAGTGCCTGAAATAAAAGACAGAAACAGTTTTATTCCCACCGAGATACTAAGTCGCCCTTAGGAAACAGCAACAAAACTGAGCACATTCCCAGGAATTCTTGAGAAGTCCCGAGTGGCACAGACAGGTCACACACACCACTGCTGCTAACTGCAAGTTTGCAGGTTCAAGTCCAGCCAGAGGCATCTCAGAAGAAAGGCATGATGATGTACTCCAGAAAAATCAGCCACTGAAAACTGTATAGAGCACAGTTGTACTCTGACACACGGGGTTACCATCAGTTAGAACTGACTCAATGGCAGCAGATTTGGGCCGGGGCCTTTGTTTTGCGTGATTTAAAGATGGCCAGCATGACTTCTCTGAAGACCAGAGCACTTTAGCCTTGCTCTACGTATGCTGTAGCACGCTTGGTGGACGGACAAGGACAGAAAGAGGAGTAGGAGGCAGAAGCAAACTCCTTACCTCGTGTATGTGTGTGTGTGTGTGTGTGTGATTTGGACACACAAAAACATTTAATAAGTTGATGCCTGTGAGTCAAGCAATGCAGTTTTGAAACAAATTTTCTGAGAAGCCAGAAGGTGTCTATGGTGAACAAGTAGGGAATTTGGTTTGTAAATCTGGAGTCTGTCATTAATTCTATGAGTGATGTCATCCACGTCCTTTATATACTTAGGGTCTTGGTTTTCTCATGCTGTGAATGGAAGGAACACTTCACCCTGCCTAGACCATGAGAGTCAAATGACAAGCATTCACACAGCGAGGACAGGAAGTTTTCCAGGAGGTATGATGACTGCTGATCACTTGGGCTTTCCTGGTTCTAGAGGTCATTCCTATGAAACTGATGGTCTACTCCTCAGTCAAATAGCTGTAAGAAGTTCAATTGGCCAGAGTTATGTGACAAATATATATTCAATGTCAAAAAGGAATAGCTGCTAAGTCTGTTTAGGTACAATCAAAAATCTCATGAGATTTAGTTGCTTGGTTTAGAGGTTTAAGGTCATAGCTTCATGGGCCATCCTAGTTAATTGATCTAATACCATGTTTAGTGCTTCTGTTCTATTTATTGCTTAGTTTCTGGAGTCTTCAAAGCCTGCAAGCAGCCATCCACAATACAACAATCGGTCTTTATTTGTCTAGAACAATTGAGCGAGAAGGTGAGCTAATGGAGTCTTCAAAGCCTGCAAGCAGCCATCCAAAATACAACCACCGGTCTTTATTTGCCTAGAACAACTGAGCGAGAAGGAGAGCTAAGGAGGAGGGAATGGAGCATCGGGTTAACTGACACCGTACACACTGCCTCCTTGGCCATGAGATAAGAAGAACTGGATGGTGCCTAGCTACCATGTTGAGCTCTATCTATATATCAACATGCTAAGATTTAACTCTATTAAGACCAAATTGAAGAGAAATTTGAAATGTGGTTGCTGTTGCTGTTATGTGTCACCGACTTGGTGCTGACACACAGGGAAACACTGCCCAGTGCTGTGCCAACCTCACCATTGTTGTTACATTTGAGCCCATTGCTACTGCCACTGTGTCAATCCATCTTATTGGGGGTCTTCCTCTTTTTCACCAACCCTCCACTTTACCAAGCATGATGTTCTTCTCCAAGGACTGATCCCTCCTGATAATATGTCTGAAGTTTGAGACATGAAATCTGGCCATCCTGGTTTCCAAGGAGCATTCTAGTTGTGTACTTCCTCCAACACAGACTTGTTTGTTCTTTTGGTAGTCCATGGTACTTTTAATATTCCATGGTACTTTTAATATTCTCCTCCAACACCATAACTCAACTGCATCATCAATTCTTCTACAGTCTTCCTTATTCACTGTCCAACTTTCACATGGATATGCAGTTATTGAAACTATCATGGCTTGTGTCAAGGCATATCTTAGTCCTCAAACTGACATCTTTACTCTTCAACACTTTAAAGAGGTCTTGTGCAGCAGATTGGCCCCATGCAATATGTCATTTGATTTCTTGACTGCTGCTTCTGTAAGTGTTGATGGTTGCTCTGAGCACAATGAAGTGTTTGAAAACTGTAACTTTTTCTCCATTTATCTTGATGTTACTTATTGGTCCAGTGGTGAAGATGTTTGTTTTCTTTACATTGAGGTGGAAACCATAACAAAGACTGTGATCTTTGATCTTCATCAAACATACAAATTTAAGAGAAATGAAGTCTTGATACATGCTGCAATATGGATAAGGCTCAAAGACATGCTAAAAGAATAAGTTAGTAAACTTACGGACAGGGAGCTAATTATTAATGGAGGAGGAGCAACTTGGAAAAGGAGGATGCATATGTAATTCCTGAGACTGCAACTCAAAGAATGTAATCAATGTCACTGTGATTATATATGTAGAAACTGTTGAGTTGGTAGATGTTTGGCTGTTATGTTTGCAACAACAAAATCAATCATCTTTTAAAATGAGGAAGAAATTAAGGCATTTTCAGTTCAAAGTATTATAGACTACAATCTAGTCATGTGGCACCCTCACAATGGTTGTGATGTTTGAGCCCAGTGCTGGAGTCACTGTGTCAATGCATCTCCCTGGAGGTCTTCCTCTTTCTCGTTGACCTTCTCCTAAGCGTGATTTCCTTGTCCAGGGAATATGAGACGAAGTCTCACCATTGCATTCCAGCTGTACTTCTTTCAAGACAGGTTTGTTCATTTTTCTGGCAGGCCATTATCTATACAATAATTTCTGTCAAAATCATGGTTCAAAGGAATCAACTCTTCAGTCTTCCTTAGTCACTGTTCAGCTTTCACAGCATAAGAGGCAAGTGAAAAGACCACAGCTTGAGCCAAAGTGACATCTTTTCAAACAGACATTTTTAATGTCTGTTGCAGCACATTTTGCCAATTCAATGAGTCATTTTGATATTGTGATTATTGATTATGGATCTCAATAAAATGAAATCCTTCGTAATTTCAATAATTTCAGGTTTCTCGTAATCACCATGCTCCTTATTAGTCCAATTGTAAGGACTTCAGAGGTATAATCCATTACAGAAGACTATACAGTCTTTGATCTTTTGAGTAATATCAGAACACCCCAACTAAAAAAAAAAAAATCATGAAGGTTATATTTCTGGCTAAAGTGAAATGACATCACATAGAAACCCAGACCCACAGGAGGGCCTAGCCTCAAAGAACTCCACTGCCATGGAATTCATTCCCATTCATAATGACCCTATATATTAGGAGTTCTGGTAGCACACTGGTTACGAATCGGGCTGTCAACCGAATTCAGGGTCAGCAGTTCGAAACTAGCAGCTGTTCCACAGGAGAAAGGTGAGGCTCTCTGCTCCCATAAAGATTTACAGCCTCGGAAACCCTGTGCAGGGTCGCTATGAGTCGGAATTGACTCGATGGCACATTATCACCACCACCACAATGACCCTATGTAGAGTTTCCAACACTATAAAAATCTTTAGGGAAACAGACAGGCTCATATTTCTCCTGTGGAGCAGCTTTGAACCCACAGTGTCACCAGGGAGCCTTAGAAGGAAAAAAGAAGAGCCAAGGAGCCAAATATGTGGATAAATATAAAATATATATATAAATATAAAAATATATATAAACCACTATATTGTTTTTCTCTTAATTTCTTTGAAAGACATTAAAAAGCAAAAATAGTATCATTGCTATTAATGGGGTTTATTGTGCATGTAGATATATAACATACAACAGCAAAAAGGATGGCAAAGAGTAATAAAATTGTACTATTGTTTCCTTCCTGTATTTTACGCAAAGTAGTCCAGTATAATTACTAGAAAGACTATTTAAGTTAAGGATGACTCTTTTCAATCTAAGCAATGTGAAAAAAATACATAGTTTTAAAAGGGCATAAAGCTAAAAAAGTTAACTGAAAAATTAGAAGGGAAGAACAAAAAATATTCAATTAATGCAAAAGAAGATGAGAATGGAGAAAAAACAAATGAGATAAATAGAAAATAATTATCAAGGTGAGAGGCTTAAATTTACCTACATTGATAATTGCATTAAATATAAGTAGACAAGTCTTTTTCAATTAAGACCAGAGACTTTCCAAAATGTATTAACAAAAAGCAAGCTCCAACTACACCAGAGATGCCCTGACAGGCTGAAAATAAAAGGATGGGGAAAGATTTGCTGTGCAAACAGTAAGTATAAAAAAGGTGAACACACCTACACTAACATCAGCCAATGAAAATTTCAAGATAAGGCCTATCACCAGAGATAAAGAGAAACATTTCGTTATAATGGACGAGTCAATTCATCACCAGTGAATGGACACACAAAACAAAAATCCTCCCAACCAAGCCAACAAATAACATCATGATGAACGGAGAAAAGATTAAAGTTGTTAAGGATTTCATTTTCCTTGGATCCACAATCAATGTTCATGGAAGCCACAGTGAAGAAAGCAAATGACACACTGCTTTGGATAAATCTGCTCCACAAGACCTCTTCAAAATGCTCAGGAGCAAAGATACCAGTTTGCCGACTGATGTGCACCTGACCCAAGCCATGGTTCAATCACCTCAAAAGCATGTGAAGACTGGAAAAGAACTGATGTGATTGTGGTGTTGGGGAAAGAATATTAAAAGTACCATGGAATTCCAGAAGAACAAACAAGTACAGCCAGAATGCTCCTTGGAAGTCAGGATAGTGACCCTTCCTCTCACATACTCTGGACAGGAGAGATCAGGCCCTGGAAAAGGACATCGTGCTTGGTAGAGGGTTAGCAAAAACGAGAAAGACAACACTCCTCAACAAATCAGACAACAGGACGGCGCAGGACGGGGCAGTGTTTCATTCTGTTGTTCGTGTTAAGTTGAAGCTGACTGGAGAATACTTACTAACAACAGATGTATATAAACCTAATTACAGAGCTTCACAATATTAAAAACAAACAAACAAACAAAAAACCTAAAGGAAAAACATAGAACTCCACAATCATTGTTGATTTCAAATCCCCTCCCCTCTCAATTACTGATACAAGTGCACACACACACA